TACACTATATATATATATATATATATATATATATATATATATCATGACTAGGGTTAGCGGACGAAGTCTTGGAAAAAACTTTACTCACGCTTGCTACAAACGCTACAAATGTGAGTACATCCTTATATATATATATATGTAGTCTGCAGTGGATTTTTTAGATGAGACACAGTGGTGTGCGCAGAACTGGCCCAGTCCTTTATTCCTAGAATCCATCTGCCAGGGCCTAGTTAGTCAAGACGGTGATACTGAAATCTTAAGAACGTGTGTTTTGTTCAAGTGAATCTTCTCTAAAATGAAAAATTTTGTAGGAATAAACGAGCTCCGTCCGCCTAGGTTTGAACTTGGAATTGTCTTCTAGAATGGTTCGCCTGACGGCTAGCCCGTCTTGCCCGTGAGCACACTTTTTGTCCTTTCAGTTATGACCTATCCGGCATGGGAAGGGGCATATGCTAGCACCAGCATAGTTCACATCTCATAAAGGCACGCAAGCTTCTCCCCCGTGATAGAGGTGTTCATGGAGAAGATGTATATATATACATATATCTTTTTCCATAAGCAGACAACATATTGGTCAAACAACAATAGATTTTGAATTTGCTAAAATGAAGTAGCCAAGTGTTTATCAACACATTCGCTTTATTTTGTAGTATTAAACGTAACAAAACAGTAATCGAAAGTGAAAATGATGTTTATTAGGTTTTGAAATTATTCAACTTTACCATGGATGTTGATTGATAAATTGTTCTGTATGTATATCTTTCTTCGAGGAGATTGAAACTATGTGAAGCAGAGAGAAATTAAGCTAATTTAAGCGTTTTTATTGGTAAATGTTAGCATACAAAAACATTACCCAGATTTTGCTTAAAAATTAATTTTTTTTAAAAAAAATTCAAAAATTAAAAACTAAATTCTTATGCAGGTGCAAACAAAAAGGAACAGAAATTCCCTATCTTCTTCTTCCCGTGTTTTCTAACTTCTTTTAATGTGAATAGCTCGGCAAGACGAAAACATCTGCCTTAATTGTGTTTGGAAAGGAGGAAGGGAGGACAGCTACGATTTTTAAAATAATCAGCATTGCAATACCCTTTTGCGTGAGCATCAAATAGTTTGTAAAGGATTCACTGAAGCATTAAATTGGCCATTGCGTGAATATGAATTTTTTCTGTGAGCCTATTTTTCATCGTGCATCTCATTTTTTATCGTGACACTTTTCAAGGATACTGTAGTGCGTATGAGATGTGTTGGAACAATGGTTCTATCCCTAACAGCTCCATTGCTGACTAAAGCCTTTCATATATTCGTGTTCTCCAGCACTTGAAAGGTCAATTTCTGATGCAAGCCTTCATCGAGATCTCCCATTCCTGCCAACAACAATAGGGAACGAACCAGGAGCTGACAGTTGTTTCACAAAATATTTTAAAGTACAATTTCAATTTACAAGAAATACCGGTTAAATTCGTTTGGAATTGATTACCTTTCTCTTCATGATATTTTGCCACTTAACCAAAGTTTTCGTTTTAGTTTGCTTCTACCGGTCATCTTCTCCTTGTAAGGAATAAATTTAAAAGAAATATAAAATTTTTAATTTCATTTTAAGAAATTTTTTCCGAAAATTGTAACTAATCAGTTTTCTGAAAAACAAATTTATTTTTAGAGAAACATTCGTTCGTGTTGTTTTTTATTGGAGGACATAGGATTTGTTCTGAGACAAAGTGAAAGCTTCCTTTTTTTTTTTGATCACACCTTTAAAACAGAGAAAAAGCCACAACTTTGATAAATTCGAGTCATTTATTTGGCAACCCAACGATCGAAAATATATACTGTTTCAGAGGACTTTTTTAACTAAACCTTGTCATTTCGACTTTCAGTAGTGATATTTCTGAATTGCAATTTCTGACTGATGAAAAAATTATCTCTCCAAATTTACATGATAAGTTTGGAAAATTGGAAACTATCCTTATTTATTTGGCGTGTTTATCGATGTTACAAATTTGCTGTTGCCTTGGGTTACACAATGCCATTTAATCCGCTTTATCTTTCAGTTATAGTTAGTCCGCATCAAGTTTATAAATTTAAATATTTTTACTAACAAAAATTTAAAATTATTTGAATTCAGATGTAATTAAGTATAAAATACTGTAATTAAGTATAAATATGTTTATTTTGATTAATGTGAAAATAAGAAAATAGTTTCAACAGTTTTCATTCAATCCGTTATTCAGAGTAATTTGATTGTGAAGCCGTCAAAGCAAATAATGGAGTAATAATGGTAAATGCACGAACATGAATAACCCTCTCATGAATAGTACAATACATAATAACATGAACTGTGTACTGAAGCATAAATTATACAAACTGGATTATGATGACCAGGATGTAATAGTAGAGAACAGGAAAACTAGACCGGAATATGCGATCATTAATAAGGATTGCTTCAACCAGCCAGCCACTAATTGACTTCCTTTCAAATACTCCTCCCCTCTACCAACTCTTTCTTCTAAGGTTGCATTAATAACCTCTCTGTCACTCTCTGGCCACCGAACGATAAAAGACAAAAATCAGATGATTTTCACCTACCGTAATCCCTGGTCCTTTGTATCATTGCATTTCTGGGCTGCTGAAGATAATTGATTTCATTTCCTTCTTTTTCAGCTGCGGTACTTTCAAGATAGTGCCAGTAGTATTGCTCTGCTTCTCTGACTTGTGTACGAGCAGTACTTATAAAAACATTCATGAACCTTTGAAATATCGGATTGCTAAATACAAAGTTAACTAATCCTCGTAAAAAATTGTCTGATAAATTCACAATTAAAATGTGCAAAGCACTGAAGAAGTTTTTCATTTTATTGTAAGGCTTGTAATGTTTTTCAAAGGTGAACGTATATTATCTGGAAGATAGCCAATGAACGTATTAGTTAACACTTGAGTTGGAATTTAAATTAAAATTTAAAAATAAGAAGTATAATTTTAAATGATTCCCGGTTTTATGTTACAAACATAATAGTAAGTATTTTCACATGACAGAACCACAAGATTTACTGTTTATAACAGTTCACCTTAATTAACTAAAGAAAATAAAGCTCGCGTTTCATTTTTTACTCTTGTAATTGTTCCGGTTTTCAAGTTCACCGGATTGAACTCATGGATTTTCCCAAAACGTTGTTGATGATTGATATATTTTAAATTCGAATACAATGTTAATAAAAAAAAATCAAGATGGATAATTACAGATGATGATGGACTTGCAATTTGATTAAGTGAAGCTCATTAAATTATTGTTGAGGGAAGATATAAAAATATATTTGGAAAAAGGCAATTTGTTGAAGGATGATGATCGTTTCTGCATACATCAGCATTGTCCATGCTTACACGCTTCTACGATCAAATATAATCCCGAAACGACAATTAATGTCTTACTTCGTCGATGAATCGTCCTTTTCAGTATGTGAGCAACCCTGTTTTGTTGTATCGTGTTAGGTTACCTCTCTGCATTCCAACCTCTAACGAACAATTTATACAATCCAGAAAATTGTGGATGCGAAATTTTCCTTTTGTATCGCAGTTCAACTGTTCAAAGTTAAATACGATAACTGTGGGAATCTGGAATCACTTTTTCAGATATAATATTTGATGTGATCACATTCATTCAACAAATATTTTTTTATCAAAAATGAACGCAAATTTTATTGATTTTATGCATAATGTAAAAAAAGTATAGACATGACATTAATTCGAGAATTTTTTTGGTCCATACAGAATAGTTTTCATGTCAAAAATGTCCATCTTCACCTGTTTTTTAACTTCTCTCCTGGACAGTTCCTTGCGGATCCGATTCATTTTTCATGGATTCTCATAACATAGGGTAATAAAAAATTTGTTACATTTACACTGAAAAATTTTCCTTTTATCCTTTCTAATATGTCCAAATCTATTACTCTTATAGTAACTGTTTAGTTATATCCAAAAGCTAAATTCAAGAGAAGAATAATTATTCAATTACTATTTCAAGATGCTCTATAACTTAATCCAACAACTGGCATAGTAATTTTATCTGAAATAAGAAACATTGTTTCAGAAAAAATAATGATGAAGTTGGATTAAATTTTACAATCCAACATTTCAACATCATATTTTTATCAGCTGTGTAGCACACGAAAAAAATAGATATTTCAGTGTATTATTGCTCATGAGTTCTCATAACTAAACAGCCAAAAATGACGGAGCAAGTGAATTTTTTGTGGATGAACGATCACTTTCCACATGAACGATTCCCGATGACGACCAGCGAAATCTTTTCTGGTCTCAGTGATTAGTATTCTGGATTTTATATGATGTTATCTTCACTATTTGTATATGTTTACATGCGTTGCTATCTGCGCTGTCAATTCAACAAATTTAACTGATACTTATAGAAAAAATAAGAGAAAAAACTTAACGATGTGGGTTCGGAGGCGGTAGTTCGGATGTAATTATATAATGAAGACGTCACTTGTTGAAGTTTTCTTAGTCTCCGCCCAGTAGAAGAGTGAGTATCAGGAGGAACGGGAGGTTGAGGGAACTGAAAAAGATTTGTTGTAAATTGAAAACGGTTTAGTGGCAATTGTTTGTCTCTCCTGAACAACAGTATTTCTATTAGCGTTGTTGTTATTATTGTTATTTGCATCAACTTTTCACTTCCACTCACACATAACGGTGTAGGCAGATAATATCCATACAAATACAAAAATAATAAGTAAAGGAAGCATTGAGGAAGTAAGGTGTACTGTGTCTTTCCAGTTCTAGGTTGTGAGTGTTCATTGGAATGCATCCACTCATCAGTCACATCTTATTACTATATTTTGCGGCTAAACAAATATCATCGCAACTTTTTTCTTTTTACTTCTTTAAACAAAAAAGGAAGTTTGCTTAGGAAGATGGCACATTACCGTCAGCCATGGCGGTAATGTACAAATCGAAAAAGAAATGTTTATATCAGCGGTAGTGAGATAATATGCTATATTTATGGCATGGAAATTTTTGCAATATCCAAAATGACTCTTCCGCTTCCGAAAAACATGTGAAGCATAGAAAAAGACGAAGTGATAGTGTGTTAGTAAGTACGCTTGCCAATATTAGGTAATAATGTTGGGAAAGACGATTTATTGCGCATGAGTTGTTTGGTATGAACAAGCATACAGCGCAGGTTGGTGCAGAAGGCAACATTGGCAGCAGGGAAATATATTAGAACAATGAGCTAGGCCTTCGCCCCGGGGAAATGTTCTTTTCCATATTCAATTTATTGTTGCATCAACTTGAATATAGAATTTTGGAAGTGGTCAGCTTCAAGCAACCTGTTGTTTGGTATGCTTCGTTACCCATAGCAGTATGAACAGCAACAGTGCTAGCAGCAGACTCTCTAACTAGTATGAAAGGTTCAAATTATAAGGAATGGAAGTAGCACAGCAGTTACCGAGTGGCAAATCGGCTTGAGAAAATTCATTTATCTGATCAGTTTAATTCCGACGACGTGTAATGACATAGATCTCATTGATTTTAAATGCCTAATTACTTTTTCTACAATCAGGAGGTCCTACTAAAAATTTTGATATTTTCAGGACATGCTATTGCTGCACATTAATTTTTAATTTGTCGCCGATTTTAGTAAGTAATCTACGGAGCCATACAATATTCTGCGGCATTGTGATGAACTGATTTGTTGTAGTGGTGGCGGAAAGTGCAGTGCAGTGCAATCAACCGAAGGTAACTTTCATGAGACCGCTGGCTTTGAATGTGCGTTACAAAGCGGGTGGATAAAACTGTTGTTATGTAATTGTGCATAAATATGGAGAACAGATGCAGTTGCATTAGCAGCAGTTGTAGAGTTCACGAAAAAGAAACTAAAAGGAAGCAGTATAAGCTTAGTGACAATGATGCAGCAATGTGATGCTTTTGAATGTTCAAATGTGCGCAAAAATATGGTGCATTTCCAAAAAATTCCTCTAAAAAGTGCTGTTTGTCTCTGAGATGCGAGAGCCAAAATGTCATGGCTTTTCCATCAGTAAAAAGCATAAGCCATTTAAAAACTCAAATGTATTAGGCGCAAATCAACTATTCTAGAAATTACTTATTTTGTGACGTTCAAAACAGGTGTTTTTTTTATTCTTTACAGTCTAATGTCTAAGTTGTTCATTTAATCCCTTTTTCGTTTTTGCCATACACTATTCTTATATTTTTATATATAATCGTCACCGGTATTCCGAATCGCGCATATCTTCAAGGACGCATCATATTTATATTTATATAGTTAAATTATTTCCATTTACTGCATATTTATTTCATTTAGTAACAGATCTGCATCTTTACGCCATTCACCTTTTTTTAACTGAATATTTTGAATTTTATAGTTCATTTCTAATGAAGAGAATGCACTAAGCAAATGAATTTTCAAGAAAGTGAGATGGCACGTTGAAAAAGACTTAATCGCTTAGAATTAACATCTGAATTGACGGAATTGTTCAATCTCTTGTTATGATAACCATCTAATTTGCTTAAGATTAGTTAAACAACATCAATCACATAATAATCGCTGATGCTAACAAAGTAGTTCTGATAGTCCTGAAAACCACAGGTTTGTACAAAATATTTCTATTAATTAGAACCTAAAAATGTATTCCGTAACCTTAGGTGTATTTCACTTTTTTAAAGCGAATTATGGCTCACTGTTTCATCTCAGTTATTTCCCAGAAATATAGCTTCATTCTAAAGTAAGATTAACGGAATCCTAAAAGCGATGTTACGCTATAATCAAGTTCTGAAATAGAAATGTAACACTGTAATCGAAAGCAAGATGTAATTTTGTCACCAGTTTTGCACTGGGATACTTTCTCCTTGCCGTAGAATAGCACAGGAACACAAGTTTGGATTGAAGATCCGATTTCGACTATCAATTTTTGCTGAAGTTGAAGTCCGTAAGATAGAACAAATGTTACAAAATAAAAGTATTTGTAATCAACACACTACAAAAAATCATTTTAGGTTAGGTATGCATCATTCTTAGTGTGTTAGAGCACCACTCATCTTGTAAATATCATATAGGCTAACAAAATGTGTCATCCATGCTTTCATTAAATTTGCTCAAAATGCTGAATGATCCTAAGATGAACTTAAAAACTGATTGAAGAAGAGATTCTTTATCAAAGACTATTGCGTACAATGAAAAAGTAGTCATTGAAATATTATTAATGACCCGTAACATCCGAATGAAATGAAAATGTCACGGTTTTTATGACATTAGAAAAACTGTAACGGTAAAAAATTATCTGATATCACGTTGAAATTATTAAATTTCGATGTGCATAGCGCTCTTTTTTTATTTTTTTGTCCGATTTTCTTCCATTTAATCAAGGTATATCAGTGGCACAGTATTCAAATGGGAAGTAATAGCAGGGAGCTTTTTCCCATTACTTGGAACTTTTACTAAGTTGCAATTTTAAATTGTTTTTTAAATTGCAGTTATTTTTTAAATTGCAGTTATTTTTTGCAGTTATTTTTTACTAATTGCAGTTATTCTGCTGAGATAAGAAAAAGACCATATTTAATGCTGATAGTGCTATAACTCATAACTGCATGTATCAATGAAACACTCAATCATTTTAGTTTGCATCTTTTAATGTGTTTTATTTGCAGAAAGAGATCACTATCATTTCAACCAAGAAAATTTGTCCCTCTGCAAACTTTGACCTGACTACAATACAAAGTTTTATTGTGAAAGGTGATTCAGTCGAAAATCCTGAAATTCTGCATCTACCTAATTCTCATTGTCTTGAAAGTCACAATCTTCATTATCTGTTCTCCAAGTAATATTATAGGAAAATTCGTTCTTAACTTGTGTGTAAACCGCATGAAAGTTATGCATGCAAGTTTTCAAAGCCTACAGCACAATTTTCAGTGAAACTGCAGGAGAGGACCGAGAAAATCTGAAGGATGTCTAAATTGTATTGGATATCTGGATTGTAATGTGTAAACAAAAAAAAAAAAAAAGTAGCTTCCAGTGAAGTCGACCTCAATAAAATAAGCAACGAATCACATTTATTCATTTTCTGAATCCTAAAAAACCATGGTGTCTCATTATCGGTTTCCATAATCCACTTGTCATTGTATTTAGTGAACTTAATGTGTTTAATATATATTTTAAAATATTTATTGCTTAAAAAATCAGCCATATCCCATACGTACAACTTTTTAAATGAACTTCATTCCTTTTGCACTTAAAGTGACCATTGCCATTTTTCTCCTTCGCCTTTGATATATCTTCAAATTAAGGTAGCAAAATTTTTTGTGCTTCCGCTATGATTAAATAAGCTTTATCGCCAAACGACCATTGATATCGATTACCTCTACTGAAGTGTAGTATTATTTGATATAAGTCTCATTTTATATTCAGTTTATTAGCTGTGTACCTCAGAATATGCAATTGATTTTTTTTCCCGCAACCGTAGAAATGAAGATGACCAAGTCAACAAACAATTTAGATAAGATTGCATTGTTTGCGGAACAAAATAAATTCGATTAAATTAAGTGAGTGAGGTGCTATATGAGATGTTACATTTTCGGTTTCGTTTTCGGCTTTATCTTTGAACGCTTCATGATCTGAGAATATAACTGCGGTATTAGTAGCAACATATAATAGTGCGCCAAATTTTATTTGCAAAATTGTGTACAAATTGATTGTAGTACTTCAAATGATCATCAGTACACTGGAATTTCGCTTTAATATTTATACTAAACTGTAAATACTATACTTTCTCCGTATGCTGTAACGTTGCTCTATATCCGTATGTGAACAACGTATTGGAAAT